ACACATTGCGTCGAACCTCTCCTATTTCTCTATCTATGTATTAGTTTCATCTTCGAAACAATGCAATCCTACATAAATAGATATGAGCATCACAATATACATTTTATTGGACATGAACGACATTTTACTTCCGCCAATTATTTATAGTTATACGGTATTAATGAACCAGTACCGTAATATCACAGACTATTATTAAATAGACATAATCTCCAATTATTTTGCGCAGATCAATTTTACACAATTCAAACGCATGTCCTATGTCAATCTTTTATAATCGCGTTAAAAATTAAAATATTTTTGGCTTAAGTAGCTACAATAATGGATAACAAATGAGTTTACCAATTAAAACAGAACGATGTGATAATTGGAGTTAAGAACCACGGACGTGGCACCATTTATTAACTTTATCGCAGAAACTGCGGCCGGAACGCACAATCGAAACAACACACGCGTCTTTATCTCGACTTTTTTCCATGATAATTTATAGGTGTAACAAATCGTGCGGCCCCGGCCGGTGCGTGCGTGCTTGTTGGTCGTTCCATCAATATATTCCCCACGATTTTAATTTATCGCGTTGTATATACAACATGTACAAACTCGACGTCGCAAAATATACAAATAAATAAAAGTTTTTCACCTATATAACGTTCAATTTCGTTATCTGTACTCAATCATTTCTCTTTTGGAAACTTATTCTATCCATTAAACGTAGCACACCGCATATTTCGAATGTAAGATCTAAGCCGTAAAAAAGGTTGCTAGATATTGATCCTTGGCTGTTACACTGTCGCTATATTCCAGCACCGTCGTACTGCGGTAAATATTACATGTACCGGATGGTAGACGTGCCTATTATTCCAGCGTATATCAGTAATGCGTCTATAAACGGCGATTACTCTCATAAGCTATTCGTTTTCATAGTTCGCAAATAGCTCCTTTTCGTATCTATATAATACGACTGCTGGGTGGGCGTTACCAAGCCGTTACGTCTAAGTTAAAAATCACTGTTGAAAATCACGGAGAAAATCTTTGGTTGCGAAGCTGAGCTCAAAAGATTAAGACAGATCAAAAAGAGAAGATTTTAATTTCTTTTTGCTCATTGAACTTCATTCCTTTATCTCTAACGCGTAATTTAGAAATATTTTAAATTTTTTATATTGCTCCCATACTCGCACCTTTAATCAAATATCACCGTTTCAAAGAATCTTAATGATGAAATATTGTAAAAGATATCAAAGGCGACTCTCATCCATATTACTGAGAATATTGAAGGCTCGAGTACTTATTAATGGAAAGAGAAAACTTTATCATTATATATAGCGTATAATTCTAAGCGGCAAATCGCATAATATCAAAGCCCTAACTCGCCAAGGAAAATAATTTGCATTCGTAATTTCATCAAGATGCTAATTTTGCGTTAGATCGTGAATTTGATAATCTCTTCACGTTACACGAGTTAAAAAGGACACATCGCTTCGTGATGGTTCTACTGGATTTGCGCAAAAACAAATGTAAAATATGATTCATAAAATATCTTTCAAAGAAAAAAAAATTCCACTCAAATTGCCAATTGGTATGACAGCAAATATTTTACGGAGATTTTGTCATAGCAGAATTGCCGCTATGTAGTTAATTTACGGCTTCAAACTGAATCACACTAACGTATGAACTATCCAACGTTGGTTTCGAGAGTTTACCGATATGACCATGTGTGTAACTGTGTACGTCTAATTGCATGACGTTGCATCGCAGGAGATATACATGTCATCTCGCGATCTCTCTCAAGGGATCAATCGTCTAGATAGTGATCCCAAAGCAACTACAAGCGATTCATCTTACACATAAATTTAGCTTTCTAGATATTGTATCACGTATTAGACAACATAAAATAAGACTTTGCGGTTATAATTTAAAGCATTTTAAAAAAATGTGAAAATCAATTATACGAGTATAAAAGAAATTTATTATATGTAATTGGCCGAGTCATTATGTTGCTTTTTATCGGTATTATCAATATTAGACTCCTCTTATTGATTATCTTGTTTATTTGCCGATCATATAAAATTAATAAAGGGATATGACTTTGTCCTATCCCACACATACGAATCATATCTCTAAGAAATGTGCATTGCGAGCTGTAATGTTTGTAGCGCGTGCAACGGTCGTAAAAGCACATGCAACCTTCGGAACGTGCATGCCAGTGAAATCGGTTTACACGCGTCAGCGTGACTGATAATGCAATCTCCGTATGAGACTACGAAACTACGCTCACGAAAGTGTAAATAAAATCTCGCAGTTGGTAGAAGTGACATTGCGATTTTGAGTGTTACAATTAGTTTACTTGTCACGTTTCGCTTCTCTCACTTCGTAAGGTCAAACTATGTATACATAAATGTAATACATATATATAAATTGAAATACAGTTATGCCATACATCCAAAAGGGAATTAGTCGCGAGACATTTTAATGCCATTAGCTCGCAGCGGTTTATCTCGAACCAGGCATGCATATGTTCTATATGTGTATTAAGTCTAATACGTCACGTAACCTGTTCGTGGATATGAGACATTGGAGTAAATTGGCACAGCTTTACTCGACAAGCGGTTAGAATTATTAAGCAATTTCTACACGTTTAACTATGCTTATTATAAATGAATATATTCTGTAGGCATCATTTTCTTTTTCTTATAATTATGAAAATAATGTCTATACGTATTTCAGCATTATTTAAAGCACGTTTAAACGATATATTCGAAAAATTTATTGATGTAAAAAATATGAAGAGAAAATATTTTAGACGAAAGATATGTATCAGCGGATTGTGAACTTCGTATACCGTATATACCGCGTTTGTAAAGTCAGTCGTGTAACGAGTGTCAGGGCTCATAGTGATCCCCGTCACGTGTTTGAACACGCATACATTGCACGCGTGTTGGGTGCACACGAATGTCACCCGCTGTCATTCTGTGAACGTCGAATAAATCATTGCCGACGAGAGATATTCTCTGTTTGCTTGACGGCCGAATCTCTTGCTTTGAAAGCTTAAAACTTGCCAACTCAATACATAGACGCACCGCAATAAAGTATCAAAAACATGTATCGTTTTATTAAATCATCAAGGAATAACAAAACTAAACTGACTGTTATTAAAGAATTTTACATGAAAATTAAAGTCCAAATTTTTGCTTTGCGAGACATCTATATGCATATTTTTTAAAGAATTAATATTATTTAAAAAATTTGCATAAAAAAAGCTAGCCCCTTGTTATATTAATAGGAATTCTAGAAGATTCAGTCAGAAAAGTAAAAGCATACACTTATAGTTAAATCTATTAAATATTCTACTTGAAATATAACCAGAAATTCAATTCCAATAATCAAAATTCTGATTTATATGGTCAGAATTTGTTTTGTTTGTACTTTTTGTTGATACAGAACATTTTTCTTAGCATGTAATTAAAACATATCTAATAATGACGAATAAATGAAATTGTGTACGAGGGGCACTACTTATATTTTGAGCCTTGGCAACACTGAGTGTTGTCAGGTGCCATATGACGTTTCCACTAGAAAGTTTGACATTTTTTACCATAACCTTCTTCAGAACGTTTTGTTATTTGAGCGCGATTTGTATTGTTTACAGTCACTTGAAAATTGTGTCTCAGCGAAAAAATGGAATTAACTCGTGAAAATTTTCGTGCAATGATTTATTATGACTTTCAACGTGGATTATCAAGACAGGAGTGCATCGATCAACTTACTTCCACTTTTGGCGATAAAGCCCCATCCTTTGCCACTGTGAAACGCTGGTATAACGAATTTAATCGTGGTCGCCGTTCGCTCACCGACGAAAGTCGTGAAGGTCGTTCAAAATCAGTTGTTGTGTCAGAAAACATTGATGCTGTGCAAAAACTAATAATGCAAGATCGTCATGTGACATACTGTGAGATTGAGACAACCTTAGGCATTAGTTCCACCAGCATATATAAAATATTGCATGATCATTTAGCCGTGAAAAAGGTTTGTTCTCGTTGGATCCCACATAATCTGACAAAATCTCAAAAAGATGCTCGTGTCGATTGGTGCAAACAAGTGGTTCGAACGCATGCAAAAGTGTATAGATCATAAAGGAGAATATTTTGAAAAACAATAAAGTCATTTTCAATGACAAATTACTGTTTTTTTATTATTAGGCTCAAAATATAAATAGTGCCCCTCGTATTACAATAGAAAAAATATGCTGATAATGTTTGCAAGTAAATTAAACGTGTTTTAAAGTAAATTATGGTATTATTTAAATAGAAAGTATAAATTTTTCATATAATATAGAACACAAATTGATTAAAGAACATTAATTTTTTAATAGTAATTCAATATTACGTATCATCGATCGAACAATTCGATCAATCACACACGATTATTATCTTATAACGTATGTAAGTTGAGAATAAGATAGAATCTGAAATCGCACATCATCTTTGTGCTTAGCGTCGCCTATGTACATACTTAGGTATGTAGATTGCGTGCCTCGACACGTGCCATTAATGGTTGATGGCTTCGAAACTCTCTCACGCCATTTTCTATCCTTCAGCGCATTCCAATAAGAGATCAACTTCTTCATCGCGAAGATGACTTTGTCGTGCGATAGCAATTCTTATCATGCGTAAATTGCAATGTATAGCAATGTATAGCACGTTTTTAATTTTCATAACATAAATTTACACTTTGTACCACGTACAATTTTTTTCTCGCTCGTGATTAATCTATTATCAATATATTGTGTACATGCCCGTCAGTATCTTATGCTTGGAAATATTCATTTTTGTAAGAAACAAGATAACATTATTTGCACAATCTAACCTATCTCTGCCAATTGTCTCAAATATTTGCTACAAACGTTTCTATTAATGTATATCCACGAATATATCTTTACAGACGTTATTCTTTATCAATGAACTGCATACCACGCTAATATAGAAATGATATCATTAAAAGCTCACCATTACGTCAATGCGTCGTTCTTCATGCTTTGGCGTCCGATGCGAATATTCCTCGACGTACGGACCAATTGTCGACCGAATCCGCGTAAGCTTGCACGTCGCACCAATTCATGATCGATGCACTTCTTCGCAAATACGTCACGTTTTCGAACGGCAAACGACCGGAAATGGGACGCGTTCGGGATGAACGCTTTTCGAACGAAATCGCCACCACGCGAGATCGCGTCCACCAGTTCACATTGAACGATTGCGTTCCTACAAAATGCACGCACAATACTCGCCCTTCCGATCCTGCACACTCATTCACGACCTCTTATACGTAAATCGAAAATTCCAGTCTGGTTTCGAAATCGGAACTCCGATCACGAAGAGATTGTCACGGTTAGGTTAGGTTAATCCTTTACAATCTCGAATTAATTACGAGTGTCACGATATACATTTATTTTAATATACTAAAACAAAAAGGCGCGAAAAGAGTTTACAGATTACACCAAGTACACAATGTCAAAAAAGTGTTCAAAACTCACGTGTATATGCATAATAATTTGCGCAACGTAAATTCGGCGCATCTCGGAAGTACTTTTTAATTCCGGACTTAACTTTTAACGAGACAAAAGTAGTGAACGTGGTAAAGCCACGCAAAAAGAAGGGGTTGTTAAGCACAGCCTAGCCGGCAGGGTGCGATGTACACGACTCTCCAGCGGCAGTTGACGCGACACTAGAGAAAATCGGAGTTCGCTTGCCGCCACAGGATTCCGGACGCCTGCGCTCTCCGTTCTCGCCACCACGAGAGCCACAGGATTTCGCATAAACAGCGCGTCCGCGGCCCTGGTATTCCGCGAGATGAATGTATATGTATCACGTCGAAAGTTCCTTCACACAAAATTCGTACTATTCTTTTATTTGAACGGACAGAATTATTCGATTGTCGATCGAAAATGTTTATTGGATTTGTTTTTCGAGCAGTTGTTTGAATAGATGTAACAAACATGCAGCAGTTTCACTTATATTTTTGTAATCAGAGATTCATCTGTTTAGACTTTAGATATTAATAAAAGTATATATTGCGAAAGAAATTACCAATTTAGATGGATATTATAAAAGATTGTGATAAAAATTCACAGCAAAATTCATAACGATGCGATAGTTAACACACTTCCACAATTTTTATTATAAGAGATTATTGAATCCGTTATCACAACGTTAAAAAGAGATGCATATTGCTATGCATCTCTATAATATAATGAAATCATAACACCATTCTAGATAGAAGGTGGCTTCATGCCGTCGCGTTGAGTGAAAATCAGCGAGATAGATCAAGTTTAATTCGCATTCAGCAAGTTATCACGACTACATAGTCAATTAAGCTATAGTCAACGGAATAACTATTTATAGTCTCTAAATATCTATCCCGTAGACGGTTGGAACAATTTACGTTGGCAAGTATATCATTAGTACATCGCAAGGGTGATTACGTGCGCTTTAAATAGCTGGCAATAAAAGGAACTTCCGCTTTAATTTGATATAACATCATGGGTCATTAAGTCTGGCCGTTCTTCATCATTTTATCACCAAGATACCAATGATCGCGCGAACGACGATTCCACCGTTAAGAAGTGTTATTATGTATATATAAAGAAAATTATATTGAATGTTTGATTCACATACACACAATCATTATATACTATACAGAAATTATTTAATTTCTTAATAAATGTATCTGATTTTTTACGTACATGATTTTTTTAATAAAATTTATATAAAAATTTTATAAAAAAAATAATCTTTAATAAGATTTTATGCTATTCTTAATATTTATACAGAATATTTATAAAATTGCATTTTCTTTCACATTATTTAAATTTAAATGAGATATTCAGCTATTGTTTCTCTAGATAATTATGAAACACTCTTTATCATATGACATGCATAAATTAATTAAAATAGTAAATTAAAAATATCTCTCTCTTTCCTTACGTAAAAATATACTTTATATAAATATATAATGCCAATAACATGAATTCATTTTAAGTACTAAATTTTTCTTTCCTCACGCTTTCTTTTCTAGCTGACTGCTCTAAAGTTTATTACGCAACGTAATCCCTTTTTCTTTTCACGACAAAGTTAGTCTGACGTAACATAGAATGATGGTCTCGTTTAAGTTTGCAAAGTGCTATGTCACATAATGGTTTTAACTATATAGAATTAGTTTTTCTAATAACTATGTAAATAAAGATTAATATATCGAATAAAGACATATAAAACGTTCAAAAGAAAATAATTAATCATTTTAATAAACTAAATATAGTCGATTGTAGAGATAAAAATTACAAAATTATATTTAAACAAAGATATAATGTATTCTACTTATTTTACTAATACACTAATGAATGCAGTTGAAGAGAAACTCTTAAGAAGGAGAAACGAGACGTAATGATGGCGTTTGAAAAATGAGTAAAATAAAATTCCCATGGGAAAGCTTTTATACGTCCATTTGCATCAGAAATATTTCTCTATCATCAATTATAACTGAAAAGCAGAGATTCCAATATTTCTTTGCCCATCCAATACATGTTTTAATGTCAAACTATCTCAAGACTTGAGATCCTTTACATTTTTGACGTACATTACTTCTCGAGATATTTTTCATGAAAGAATACATTTTATATTATTATAACTAGAAACTCATATAAATATATTCTTCTATACTGTACATATACAATATGAAAGTCAATAAATATATAATTTTTCTAAATAATTAATGTTAATAAAAAATTTACATTGCATATATTAATAAACTTAACATGTTGCATATCAGCAAATCCTTTTTCATTCTAATTAAACAGACACATTTTTCTGAATAATATAACAACACAATTCTCGAAACTTACAATCAAACATTGTATGTTGTATTCAGGGAGAGAGAAAAACCAGGCCCGGGAGAAAAAAAATTACGGGCCCCTATTTCGCGCAGGTATTACCCCCAACTAGGAGCGGCAGATTTAGCAGATTTTGTAAAATTCACGTATA